AGTGACGCCGTCAGTAACGATGATGTGTCGCTGACATGGATGCCACCAGGATGTACACCATCGCCAACTAGACTCATCAAACCACGTGAAAGCCACGTCACATTTAAAAATAAAAAATAAAAGAAAACTGGGTCCGGATACTATAACAACACCCCTTGTGTTGTTATAGTAACATCAGGGGTAAAAAGGGAAATTACGAATTATAAACCATTCTCATCCCCTTTTCTCTCCGTCTTCTTCCCACCAAGTAAACAAATCTGGAGAAAATCTCCACCAAATTTCCACTGGACCACCAACTAACCCAAATTCCCTACTCTTTCGAAAAGAGATCTGAGCGGCGGCGGCGGAGGATGAATCATAGAGCACCTTCTTCTTCTTCTTCTTCTTCTTCTTCTTCTTCTTCTTCTCCCCTCCATCTGGCTGCCGTCGTTCGCTTGTAATTGTCGGTCTTCCAATTGCATTGAGGCATGCTGCTGCTCGCTCGCTCGTCGGGATCCGAACGAATCCTGGTCGTCGTCGAAGAGAAGCCGGCGAGAAGGTAAATCGGGATCCAAACGAATCCTGGTGCGCCGTCGCTGGTCGTCGTCGAAGAGAAGCCGCCCTGAATTAATTCCATCGACGAGCGCCATGGAAACGTCGCCTAGCTACCTTAGCTACTATTGAATTCGCAGCTTATAGCTACTATTGAATCCTCATACCAAAATCGTTCAAAGGTGGAACAAGTTTTTCGTCATTTTGTGTCTGGTGGCCATTTTTCTTGACCCATTGTTTTTCTTCTTGCTAGGCGTGGACCAGGTACTTCTCGTTCCCACTTCAGTGATTCATCACCTATCGTTTTGGCATAATCCCAATCAATTCATCATTATCGGAGAATGATTTCACACGTACAACTGCACGAGTGGCTGACCGGCGGCGAAAGTGTTCCTTTTTAAGGACGGATCGGAGAACATAACAGATCCCAGTTTCAGTGCAATCGGATCGGCTCCTTTTTACATACTGCTTGCGGGCCTGCCTGCACCAAAACTTCACTTTAAGATCCGACTAAAATGCAACATAATCATAACCTTTTGTAGGCTCAAGCTCGGGTTAATTGCATTTTTAGAGGTGTATTTATAAATAACACCAGAACCTTCATAATACATACCATAAATACGGTAAAACAACTCACAAAAAGCAAACCAAAAACCTCCTAATGCATACCACAAATCCCCTAAAACAAACTACAAACCTCACAAAGCAAACCACAACATTTGCGAAAGCACACCAGAAACCTCCAAATGCAAACCACAAACCTCCTAATACATACCACAAATCTCCTAAAACAAACCACAAACCTCACAAAGCAAACCACAACATTTGCGAAAGCACACCAGAAACCTCCTAATGCAAACCACAAACACAATAAATCAAACCACAAAAAAGCAAACCATAAACGTCCTAATGCAAACCACAAATATATTAAAACAAACCAGAAACCCCTAAATGCAAACCACAATATTTTTGAAAGCAAACCAGAAACTTCTCAATGCAAACCACAAACACGATAAAGCAAACCATAAAAGGCATAAAAAAATATGAGAAACCAAACCATAAATCTCACAATGCAGACCATTATATCCGGTGATCGTTGACCGTTGACCGGTCAATGATTTTCGTTCACCGGTCAACGAAGACCGTTGACCGAACTCCGGTGACCGTTAGTGAGCAGATTCCGACGCCGATAGGAATATTCCGGCCCCGGTGACTAGATTCCGACGCCGATAAGCATATTCCGACGCCGGTAAGCATATTCCGGCCACAACATAGCATATTCCGGCGACAAAAAGCATATTCCGGTGACCGGCGACCATTTCCGGCGACCGGTGGCAGAATTCCGGCGACCAAATTTTTGGGCAGAAAATAAAATTTTTTTTTTTTTTTTTTATTATTATTTAAACATATTTTTCATAATGACAATTATACCCCTGCTTTGATTTTACACTAGGTCAACTCATTTAATAAAAAGTCATCACAATCCTAACTTCCTATTGGTTGGGGACTAGTGTTGTTACAATAACAACACAATGAGTGTTGTTATAGTAACCGGTCCCTTTCTTCTATCCGCGAAAACCCGGACTCTAGCTAAGTGCATTTTTGACAAGGTATCAGAGCTATCGTCTATGGAATCTGATAGGGTTTCGGTTCGATTGAAATCCAAGAACTATGCGCTATGGGAGTTCCAGTTTCGTATTTTTATCGAGGGCAAGGGCCTTCTTCAGTTCCTGGATGGCACGTCCGAGAGGCCACAAGTTCCACCGTCGTCAGGTGAAGAACTCGCCCGGTGGGTTCAAACTGATGCTCGGGTGAAGTCTCTGCTTTTGAGTACTATCGATCCAGTCATAAGTCTGGGTCTTCGTCTGCTACGTTCCGCGCAGGATATTTGGGTTCACCTCGCCCAGACCTATACAACTTCTGATCCGGCTCGTCAGTTCGAGATCACGTTTGAGTTAGCTCGGCTTGAGCAAGGAGATAAGGACGTCATGTCCATCTCCCATGCATGGCTTCAATTTTTGTCGCCCAACCTCGATTTGCATGCATGGTTGTTCAATTTTTGGTCATAATTTTCTCTTACTTGCCTCGCCACCATCGTGTAGGGGAAATGGGGAAATTTCTTTTGGGAATCGGTGAATTCCGATGAACTCCCTTCTGGAATTTCAAGCGGCGGTAGTCTGCCGAGATGTGGCTATTGATTCGTTGGGGAGATGCTGGGAGAGAAGAGGTAGCCCAGCCAAGCGGTTTTACAGCGGCAATCACCAAAAGGCCTTCTTCCTGCCTCCACATACAACAACCACCGCCACCAAACACACTTCTTCCTCAATTCGCAATCGCCGTCGCCATCGTCTTCCCTCCGCCAATGTCTCTCCGAATTCTTGCATCCCACCTCCCAACAGTCTTCCCCAATTTGCAGATCCGCCTTTCCATTCATGTCTAGTGACTTTCCTTGAAATAAATGGGGAAAAAACAGAGGGTCGCGGCAGTGGGCTTCTTCTTCTCGGTCGTCTGGTGTCCTTCTCGTCGGCAAAGTGGATGACCCGACAGGCAAAACAGGGGAAGGCCGGCGCTTCCGGAAGGAAACAAGGGAAAGGGTTCATACATCTTCCACCTTCTTCACCATATCCAGATCTGTGACTCCTCCCTTCGAAACCCTCTCTTTCCCCCATCAATTACTCTATTCCGCCGTGACGGGGGCGGTGCATCCGTCACACATTCACTCATACATATGTAAAAACAAAAACCAGATCCTTCCACCAATACACCCGAAAGCGCACCACACATGCTCCAAAAAGCCTGCAACCAAAAAGATACAGAAACAAAAACCCCAGTGCTGCCTGCTGACCATACAATCAAAATCCTTCGTTAATCATCAACAACAACAATGGCGGCCTGGCTATTTGCCACGGTTCTGGCCGCCGTCGCTGCTGTGTGGAAGATTCTGCCAGCTGTTCCGGCAGGTGGTCTGGCGGCCGTACGTCGTCACCAAGAGGCTCCGACGAGAAGGCGTGCGGTGCCCGCCGTACTCCTTCGTTTCCGGGTCCATGGGGGAAGTGAAGAGGCTGCAGTAAATGAGGTTTGCAGATTTCCGATTGAGTTTTTGGGCTAGGGATTTCAAAATTAGAAGGGATATGAGGATTTTAAGGTTTGGGAATTATGTGGGGAAGTTTAATTTGATGGGTGTGCCCTTTTAATGGCGGAGAATCAGCCGCACAAGAAGAAGGGGAAGAAGAGGGTAGGTAGGTGAAAGAGTAAAGTAGCTTTTTGTTTTTTTTTCTTCAATTAATGAAATTTAAAACATATTCCACTTGGCATTGCCATGTCAATGAAAAATCACCACGTCACCAACAATCATTTGTCCAGTCAGCAGTCGTGATAGTGCCGTTAAACTTTTGGACGGAATGGCTATATTTGTGTATTTTTTTTAAAAGTGGCTATATTTGTCAAAATCATGAAAGTTATGGCTATGCGAGTGAATTAAACCTAAATTCAAAGACATAGTTTCCTTTTGAGGCTGGCCGAGATTTGAGCAATAAGTCAATCCTCTGACTTGATCTTTCAACACAGCCTCTCCGCATACGCATGTCAACTGGTTTCGTCCGGCCTTGAGCTCATAAGGGAGACGGCAATAGCCTCCGACCAGTTGCATCTTCTCTTGGAAGGATCTCCTTCATAGCCACATCCTGACTCGGCCAGAATGATGCATAGGCAGACAACGCCTTATCGCTAGAGTCGCCCACCATTTACCCTCTTCTAGCAAGACAACCAGATGAATACGTTTTTCAGACGATCAACACGATCACGATATTCCGGATCGTGACAACGGGCTCAGGCAAATGGGGGAATTACGCGTGCAATTAACTAACTAGCATGTGATTAGTGGGAGATTTGCACCCGATTTCTATTTAACTAGCAGAGAAATTGGATTACCGTTAACTAGTTAAACTTTCTAATATAATTATGGTTTCTTACATTCAATATAAAAATGACATTAAGTAGAACGATACTATTAAGTTTGGTTGTCAAATCAGTGACATGAGTCACATGGCACTGATCATTACAACTAAGGGGTGGTTTGCTTCAAGGATTTGGATGTGGGATTTGGTTCTCAAATCCAACACATGAAGGATTTGTCCAAAAGCCATTGTTTGTTGAGCCAAAATGGAGGGTACCAAATCCGTGGGGTCCACTGATTTGGGGTTCCAAATCCGTGGACCCCACGGATTTGTAAATCCCACCTCATACCCTAGGATTTGGAGACAAGTTGAAAAACCATCAAATCCATGATAAAAATAGCTCAACAAACAAAAGATTTCCTCAAATCCATAATGCCCAAAATCCCTAATAAATCCCAAGGTTTTTAATTAGCAAATCCATGACAAAACCCTCGTTATAAAATCCTTGAAGCAAACGACCCCTAAATTCAACCGGTAATGGACACAAAACCGAAGATAGAGCTACCTTCTTGGTAATACACTAAAAAAAACCTTCATAGAGCCAAGTAAAAATGTTTCCCCTCATATACACGCTTTCAATGTTGGAGCCAATTGGGTCGCCCGATTAAATGCAAAACACCAACTACCGCAAGATTGGATCACCATTAAGAGTAACCGGGACTGAGTTTTCAACAAAATATACACACTTTCAACACCCTGACTACCTGGCTATACAAGACTCTGTTCCCCCGTACATTCTACTACAGATCGATACATAGGTAGGAGATGACAGAGCCGGTTCTGCGCTTGGTCGTCTCGCTCACCTTCCACTTCTCCACCAGTACCTTCGTCATGTTTGGGCAATGGGAGACCAACGTGGCGATCCCCGCGGCGGTTACCCCAGGGCAGTAAACCGCGTGGCAGGATTCCAGCATGGCGCAGTGTCTGACGAGGTGGGAGAGGCCGACGTCGGTTACCTGACGACACTGTGAGATTACTATCTCTTTCAGAGCTGGACAGCCCTCTCCTAGCTCGGCAAGCGCCATGTCACCTAGATTCTGTGCACAATGATTGAACCCCCCACCATTCGTGAATGTGACTATGGGGAAGTAGTGAGACGGGAGATTGGATTCATATATATACCTGAAGCATGCTCACGTCGAGGTGGCTGAGATCAGGACAGCCTCTTGCGATCGCTATGATTCCAGCATCGCCTATTTGATGGCAGCCACTGACGTTTAGGGTTTGGAGGGAGTGACACTGGGCAATGGAAACAAGGGCCTCATCTCCCACCCTGACCAACATCACAAAGATAATATGGAAATTTATTGAGTGGTGTATTCTATATAACTAGCACCACAGGAGTATTCACTGTTGAATTTATGCGAACATGATGGGTAACCCCTGGTGTTTGCTATGGTTTAGATTATGCTAACAGAAACAGAACAGCTCAATGAGCACTGACAGATCGACACGGGGATGGGAAAGAAGTACAGAGGGTTTCACCGGGGGAAGGTAAGGTGAAAAGTAGTTTTACCTTTCACAAAATTTAAGGCTAAGATCCGCAAGTGATTTGCAGTTCTCACCAATGGCCATAATACCTCTGTTCCCAACCTGTGGGAAATAGATGTTAAACAAAGAGAATGTTGTAAGAAAATCAAGAGCCGCCTGAAAGATCAATCCAACTAACTTAGCAGCTGGGTTTTGATTAATAAGTGAAGCTCGAAAAAAATCAAAAAGATTACTCAATAGGAAAGAAACATTCACACTCTGACAATGAGGAAATGTTCATCCTACACTATAACTTCCAAATTTTCAACACCAAACAACCATCAAACAAAGGATCCAAGGCCAATCCTTTATCTTTATCCAGCATTTCATTAAAGGGTAGAAGACAGATGAATCCAACCTACTTCAGAATCATCAGAGAAAGGAAGTTTGCATGTACGATAAATGTAATATGAGTATTTATATGACCGATTCAGAGAGTTCAGCAGAGAGCAAGGGAGAGAACTCCTAGAAATAGGATTTTGTCGAGGAGAGACCTCATAACACCGATGAATATGAAGTTTCCTCAAATTTGTGCATCCCATAGCTAGGCTACAAATGGCATCATCTCCAATGCTAGAACAATGTACCAAGTGAAGGACCTCCAAGAACTTACAGCCCTTTCCAATTTCATGAAGAGCATTAGCACCGATCCGTTGGCAGTATGACAAAGCCAACTCAGTGAGACGCCTGCAACAAGTTGAAACTAATGTGTAAGAAGGCAAAGCTGCTAAAGGGGTGTATCGTAGGTGATAAGATACAAGCAGCACACGATAAACTAAATTCGGAGGAACGCAGAAAGAGGGTGAGAGCACATACGTGCATGATCGTCCAATGGCTTCCAATCCCATGGTTCCAATATTGAGACACCCATTAATTTCAAGATGTGTGAGTTCTTTACAACCCGTGGCAATCGATCCTAAACCCTGGTCACTGAGGAAGTAGCAGTCGCGAAGAGTAAGATTTTTCAACATCTCACATCCAGCTCCAATAGCACACAAACCTCTGAAACGTAAAGTAGAACTGTCAAATCTCATGACCCATGCCATATGAGTGTTGTAGTGAGATTCTTAAGAAACCAATACAAATCAATCTGAACTTTTCTAAGTTCTTCATGGCCTAAAACTTCTAGCATAGAAAAGATAGAACCAAGACACAAATCAAACTTAGTAAGCTGCAGGTTACCAAAAAGCTTATTAAGACAGAACTACTTTTCCAGGATAGACCAAGTAAAAAGAAGGAAAAGATAGCTAACCTGTCCGTAAATCGCTTGTACAAAGCCAACGCCTCCAGTGAAGAACAATACTTTCCTACAGCTATAAGAGCATCATCAGTAACATTAATGCATTGCAGCTTCAGGACTTTCAGAAGAGGGCATCCTTCGGCAATGGCAAGAACCCCATCATTGTAAATGAATTCAGAATCCACTGACAGTGTTTCCAGGGATTTGCAGTGGGAACCCACTGCTACCAACGATTTATCTGTTATCTTTGCACAAGCTGCAACCCCAAGACTCTTGAGCGAGTTCGAGCAGCCTTCAGCTAGCTCGACCAGACCCACGTCACTCAACCCTTCACAAAAGCGCAAATTTAGTTCTTGTAATTGCTTAGAGCACCTACCAATAGCAGCCAGGCCCCCATCGCCAACATAGCAACCCTAAGGGAGGAAGGAAACATTATTACTAGTTGTAGAAACGGTTTATGTTCCCATCCTGTTGTCAGAAGCAGACTTCTGAAGGTACCAAGGACAATTAAAGCATACAAACCATAGCCCAGATCATTGTAATTCAAAAAATTGCGGCGACATTGATCAGCATGCTCGAGATGCACATTCAAGAGAAGCGGAATAAAAACATCGACTAATGTAGTAAACAACTTGAAGACCGACCAAACTAGAATCACCCATAGCACATTCTATCTAAAGTATATGTTGAAGGTGATCAAAGTAGACAGTGGGTACCTGCAAATCCAGAGATTTCAAGAGCGAGCATTTATGGGAAAGAGAGACTAAACCCAGACTTGAAACATTGGAGCACCAGAATAAGCTCAAACGTTCAAGAGCTGGGAATTGATCACCGATTGTAATCAATCCAAGGTCAGAAAAACTGCAGGAATCAAACTGTTCGGCTTCAGACATGTCCTCTTGAAACACGCCGTGCAGCTTGAGATCAGATGATCCGGCTGGGGATTCATTGGTGCATTTTCTTCTCTTCCGCCCCTGCAGCATTAACGCTTCAAAATCAACATCCAGAGAAGGAATGCGACGCGATTGAAGAGCTTAATCACCAATTGGAGATCAAAATCCAGATAGCAAAAACCGTACAAGCTGGGAGGGAAGAGGAATGGAGAGGCGCTCGTCGATGTGGATGGTTTTGATATTGGGGAAACGGGTGGAGTGTAAGTGGATGAAGAATTCGGGGTTACCCGAAACGCCAATCCGGAGAGTAGTCCGGCCGAGGCGCTCTAAGGAGAGCCACCGCTTGCAGACGAGGGAGCAGGCGTCGCGGGTGTGCTTGGAATCGAGGTGGCGGAATATCTCGAGGATGATTTCGTCGAGAAGGAGGGCGTTGATCCAATATTGGCCTCGCATGACTTTCGTTCGGGGAGACATTCGGTAGTCGGAGAAGCCGCAAGTAGGCCGGGAAATGAGAATTTGGGTCCGCCGGAGAAGAGCGCCGAGCGCGGGAGTTGTGGTAGAAATAGGGCTGGCATTTCGGTTTGCGGTTAGCGGGTAACCGCCGGTTTTAACCGAAAACCGCCGGTTACCAGCTAACCGAAAACCGACCGGTTACCTTGACGGTCGGTGGTCGGATGGGAAAAGGAAGGGATCGGTTGACCGAGTAACCGACGGTGATTAACCGCGGTTATCCGACTAACCGGGCCAACCGAAACCCACTTTACCTTCCCCAAAATATGTCCAGATTCATCCCAATTCCCAAATCTTCAATCAAAAAAAAAAAAATCCCAAATACAGGAAGAAGAAGAAGAAGAAGCAGATCTACACTCTCAACAGCCGATTCTTGTTTCCGCCGCCGGCATCGCCGCCGCCAACGAAGACGCCGCGGCCATCGAAGACGCCGCCATCCTCTTCTCCACAACATCCGACTCCCCAGCGGAATCCACCACTCCCTGCAGTGACCTCTTCTTCTCCACAACCTCCGACTCTCCGAAAACCGCCGGCGGTGACCTCTTCTTCTCCTCTCACAGGCGAACAAAACCCAAAAGCAATAACACAGATCACAAACAAAAACCAAAATCAAACCCTCAAAATTCGACATGCAAGTGAGAGAACTTGATCTCACCTTCTTCTACCGTCGCCTACCATCGCCTTGCCCGCTCCGCCGCCGTCTTGGCCTTCTTCCATTCTCCTCGATTTGTTATTAGGAGTGAAGAGATGAGGTAGAGGTAGAGAGAAGCGACGATTTGGGGAGGCAAAGGGCAGAACGAGAGAGGTGAGGGTAGGAGGGAGCGATTTCGGGGAGGCAAAGGAAGAAGAGGATCGAGATTTCAGAGAGAGTAGGGAGAGAGATAGGTTTTCGTTTTTCTCTGGAAACTGGAAAGGAAGAAGAACTTTCGGAGAGAGATTCGAGAGAGAGTAGGGAGAGAGAGAGGCCTGATGGGATAGGACTCTTAAAGTGGTGCAGGATTTTCGTTTTTTTTTTTTTTTTTTTTAAAGGTAATTTCCGGTTGGCCGGCTAACCGAGCCTAAAACCGAAACCGGCCGGTCGGTTAGCCGGCTAACCGTACCCATTCTCACGGTCGGTGGTCGGTAGGGGTGCAGGGTGGCTCGGTTTAACCGATAACCGGGATTTCGGTTTTTGGTTAAACCGAAACCGACCGACTGCCACCCCTAGGTAGAAAAGGGTAGAAGAAAATTGGAATGTAGGTAAATTTTGGTAAATTCGATAAGAAAAACAGTACAGTTGATTGTACTAGCCTGTACCCGGCCGGTTGGCGGTTGGCCGTAAGATTTGAATTTATTATTTAATAAAAAATCTCAACTAATATTTTTTTAAGGATTCTCAATTGAATATTTTATTCGAAATTTTTTTAAGTCTTGATCATATTATGAGTACGTTTGTCAGTTATGCCATGGTATTCTCATCCCTCTTGTGCATTAAGAAAAAAATCATATCTTTTCAAAATTAATGTCCTTCGATCACCTAAATTCAAGAATTATAAGTTGGGCTATGCACCTGTATAACTTATATAGATTTTCGACTCCCTGATGGCTAGCAAAGAAGTTAAGTGCTTAACTTAACCTTGTAGGCATTTCCTTCCTAAAAACCCTTCATCATTTGACAATGTTTATGTCACGTTATTTTAAGTTTATCATAATTCACAAACACAAAAAAGTGAACAAAAACTTAACCCCTACGCTTTCACTTTGTAGAATTAACCAATTTAGAATTATTGAAGATCAATGAAAATCATAAACACTAAATATGACCAAATAGGAAGCAATAGGGGGGTTTAACTAAAAAACTATGCTACATTAAGAATTAATTTAATGAAATTGTCCTTCTTGCATCATGGTGCCGGCCAACGTTATACAAATTAAGTAGAAGAGATGGAAATTGAGACATTCAGGGATTGAGGCACCCAAAATGAGATGTTCCTCGGTAAACACTAAACACCTATTTCCTCTACTCTGGCGTTCGATAAGCAGTCCTCGCATCTGCCGTACGCTGTTGACTCGTCCAGTCCGGCGTTTGGACCTGCTACTGTCAAAATTTGGTACAGAGGAGCTCCGGGAAATAGAGCTTCCGAAAGGACCACCTAAATGAAATGCAACTAAATAAGGCCGAAAGCAGGATTTGGGTGCTTGTAGCTAACCGGGAACCGTGAAACTGAAGTTGCGAAGTGCTTCCCTGTTGTCGGCAACGACACACAGAGCTCAGTTAGAAGTTCTTCCCTGGAGGCCGTCAGGCCGATGCATGAGTCCCTCCAAATTTGCAGGAATTTACACCCTAATCGTTTGTAAGTATATCGGGCCTGATTCTCTTTTCCAGAAAAAGCCAACTTGGGTTTATATTGTGTGCCTAATAAAAGGCCCAATGTTGAGTTTTGGAACCACCATGGAGCTAATGACGATGTGGGCGGGAAGTAAAAAAAATGTGGGGCTTAATGGACCAAATTACCCCTGACGAAAATTAAGGAGAGCTCCATTTTTTGAATGGTGAAAATGCTGCAAAACTCCACCATTAAGTAATCTATCGATGGTTGGTCACATCCCTTAATTAGTCATTGAGATTATAAAAAAACATTCATGTTTGGTCACTCGAAATATTTAAATTTATTCGTGGTCACTAAAATTAATAAAATCGTCCAATTTTGGTCACTCTCCGTTAGTCTTTGTTAGCCTTCGTTAACACCATTAGTTTTTTGCTGACGTGGCTAACAGAAGTGCCTAATCAACCAATTATAAACCAAAAAGTTTGAAACCCGACCCACCACGTCATTAAACCCAATCCAACTTAACCCAACCGACGATCCAACCCGACCAGACCCTTCCTCTTCTTTCCGGTGGCGGCAGGAAGTCCAGGAGCCTTCAATGCTCTCGTCGAAGCAAGAACAATTGCCACAAATAAGAAGAAGAAACAAGATTAGAGAGAGTATTAAACCCACTAATCCTATCCAGTAAACAAATTTGGAGAAACTACAAGAAAAAAGGAGTTGAGCAGTGTAGGAAAGCATAACATTCGTTGATGGATTGTTCTTGGGCGTCTTCCCTTGTCTCTAAATCCCACTCTATCGACTGCCCTAATAGAGAAGAGAGTACCTGACCGATTAATTCAGAGGTCGAGCTCGATTTTGTTGTGGGTGGCGGAACAAATCCATGGCGTGAACGGTGAATCTTCTCCCAAACTCAGCCTCGTATCGCCGCTGCCGCCATCCCTCTTCGTCGGCCTGATTCGGAATCCCACATTCTCTTCTCCCGGCCAGGTCAACAATCCAGAAGAGAGGGTTCAGCAGTAGATTTGTCATTAATTTTGTTACCGGCAGGGGCATTACGAGAAGAAGCCCGACAACCCCACCATTGTCACTAGGGATGGAAATCGGTACAGTATCGGTATTCCAATACCAAATACTGAAATCCCGAATACCGAATTACGCCCTAGAATCAATCCCAATCCCAATCCCTAAATATTTCGGTATCCCAATTGGTACTTCAGTATCCCAATCGGTATTCTCAAATACGAAATTAATCACCTTTATAATTAATAATTAAATATATAAATTAGATTTGATTGTTTGATATAGGACAAAGAGACTAAAGAAAGAGTTTTTAGTTTGGCTAGAGCTAGGATATGGATAAGGAGAATGGAGTAGAGGTGATATCTCAAGTTTTTGTCATTGATAATCTTTAATTTGATGAATTGGAGGCTGAGAGAAGACTAATACTAGTGTTTGCTTTTTGGTGTTATGAAAATAACAATAGATTGGTGGTTGAGGGTAGTTTAGTAGGGAATGAGAGTCTAGTTGAGATGATAAAATACACACTAGCTTATATTTCAGTATTTCGGTATATATCGATCCCAATCCCGTAATCCCTAATACCTAATAACAATTGAAATTGAATCCCAATCCCAAAAAATCATACGTGTATTTGGTAATACTAAATATACCAAATTCGCTACGGTATTCGGTATATCCCAAATACCGGTACCAAACTTCCAGCCCTAGTTGTCACCATCAACTGTCCCGACAAGTTAGATCTCAGATGCGATATCTGCCGCATAATTATGGAGCTCGACCTTTGAACTAATCGAGCAATTACTCTCTTCTCCTCTCTTTCAACATGAATTGTGACACTCTTGCTCGATTTTGTTGTGAGTTTCGGGAGAACAATGGTGGTTAGTTTAGGGATTGGAGGGATGATTGGTAATGGCACCCAATCCTCTTCCTCGTCGGTGTTAGTGTTCCAAATCATGACGAAGAGTTTGTGATGTCAAAGTGAAGGCAAGATTTAGGATAATTTCTTTGATAAAAAAAGATTTAGGTTAATTGCCTGAAACGTTAAGAAGTAGATGTGGCAAATGGATTGGATTGGTGGATCTATGGATCAAATGGATTGGATCTAATGGATTGGTGGATTCATGGATTGGATCAAGTGGATTGGTGGATTATCCATGAATCCAAATGACATCCTCAATCAAGGACCAATATGTAAAATGTTAAAAGTTTAGGTACTAAAATGTCACAACGAAAAATTTTAGGTACCAAAACATAATTTTTCAATGATATTTTTCGTATAAAAAATAAAATTTTAGGTACCAAAATGTAAAAAGTAAAAATTATAGGTACTAAACCGTAATTTGCCAATGATCCATGAATCCACCAATCCAATTGGATTTGGATCAAATGGATTGGATTTAAATGGATTGGATTAGGTGAATATTTTTAATGGATTGATGGATTGAATTGGTGGATTGGATTGAAATTGCCACCTCTATTAAGAAGAGAGGGTTGGTTTGGTTGTTGAACTGGTTGGGTTTGGTTATATAGTAGTCCGACATGGCGGGTCGGGTCATATGATGTGGCAGGTTAAATTGGGTGACCAGACATGTCTGTTAGCCACGTCAGCAGAAAACTGACGTCGTTAACGGAGACTTACGGAGAGTGACCAAACTTAGACGATTTTACTAATTTTAGTGACCACGAAAAGATTTAAATATTTTGACTGACCAAACATGGACATTTTTTGTAATCTCAGTGACCAACCATGCAATTAACCCCTAAAATTACTAAGGGCATGTTTCGAGGTTGAGATTCTCTAAATAGATGCATTTGTTCAATTTGTGTATTATCATTTGATATACTAATTCAATATATGTATTAGGTAAATACATTGTTTGAAGGGGTAATGATGAAACAAAAAGTAGGGTAGACAATCCCTTATTAACAATCTCACCTATTTGTAGAGATTTATAATCGTTCATTTTGAGTGATTATAGGTGGGCCCAACAAAAACATAATACATGCATTCTAAGGGTTATAGGTATAATATGCCCCTCTACTATGACGTTTTATCAAACGTGCACCTCTATAATTTTTTACATCAAACATGCCCCTGTACTTTGAAAAAATTATCAAACATGCCCC